ATGATGACATGGTCCCAGAAATTCACCTCACAATCACCTCCTGATATTGACTGACCTCAGGGGGGAGGGCCTGGTGTTTACATTTCAAAGGAGATCGCCAATAGACGCTTTGGACACTAAATCTCCACTAGCTTCCTGGTTGGTGAAAAACATCTGCTGTTGGTGATGTGCCCTCTGTTATGGATTGAATTGTGTCCCCCAAAAAGTGTGTGTAGCAACTTGGCTAGGTCATGATTCCCAGTATTGTATGACTGTGTTATCTGATGTGATTTCCTTATGTGTTGTAAACTCTACCACTATGATGACATTATATGTGATCTCCTCATGTGTTGTTAAGTTCTATCACTGTGATGAGGTTATACTGATGAGGTGGACAAGATTAGTGTCTTAATGCAATCTCTTTTGAGATATAAAAGAAGCGAGCAGAGATACATGGGAACCTCACACCACCAAAAAAGCAGTGCTCGGAGCAGAGCGCGTCCTTTGGACCTGAAGTTCCTGTGCTGAGATGCTCCCAGACCAAAGGAAGACTGATGACATGGACTTTCCTCCAGAGCCGATGGAGAAGGCGTTCCCCTGGAGCTGATGCCCTGAATTTGGACTTGTAGCCTACTGGACTGTGAGAGAATAAATTTCTCTTTGTAAAGCCATCCACTTGTGTTATTTCTGTTGGAGCAGCACTAGATGACTACGACACCCTCTTTGGGACACAGAAACTCTATGCTGGGAACCCTCCCAGGCTTAGCCCTGTGTGTCTGTCTCTTCTTTGTGCTGATCCTGCTTTGTATCCTTTATAATAAAGCTGAGATCGTAAGTATAGTGCTTTCCATGAGTTCTGTGAGTCATTCTAGTGGACTATCAAACTCCAGGGATCATGGGAGCCAGCAGGTTAAAAGTCAGGGGGGCCTAGGGACTGCCGAGCTTGTGGCTGGTACGCTGATGGGGTAAAGGGAGCCCCCAAATTTGCAGCTAGCAGGTCAGGAGTGAGGGGAGCTCCTGGGGACCCTCAAGCTTGCTGCTGGCATCCTAAAGGCGTAATGGGAAAACCCTAAACATGTAGGCAGCAAGTCAGAAGTGTGGGTGTCATGGGGACTCCCAAGCTTGTGACTGGCATCTGAAGTCTTAGGCCCACTTGGCAGTTTGGAGGACTGTGTCCTTAGCTTGTGAGCTCTGACCTAGTTGGGGGTGGTTAGGGTCAAAGGAAGAAGTGTCACACGGGCAGCTGGTGTCAGAACAAAAGTGGCAGAGAAGTGAAACATGGGGATTTTGATTTGTGTTGATTATTATCCTCATAGTTGGTGTTAGAGAAAGCAGATTGGATCCACAAAGGGGCATAAGAAAAATAGGCAAAGTCAGACACACACATGCATATACAGTACTCCTCTCTCCTCTCCCCACCAGGTGTGGGGGTCCACCCTCACATTCCTAGAATTAACCCAGAGGAATAGAGGGGTGTGATTCAACTGTCATGTCCATAATATGGAATATCGTGTACCCTTCAAAATATTACAGAAACAACCAGAGATGATGTTTCTGCTTATCACGGTAGCAAAGATAAAAAATGTTGATACCCAATGTTGGCATGTATGAGGAAATAGACATTCATACTCCGTGGGTTAAGGCTGGTGGGGATACCTTTTGAAGGTCAGTATGGCAGCACATACCAGAATTTGTAAACACCTGTGAGAGAAAAGCATTCCTGACATCTAGGAGCTGGCTTAGCCCTCATAGCTAGGCCTTGGGTGATCTCTTGTTGAATATAAACAATTCCACATATCAACATCAAACATGGACACTCTGTGGCTGTGATGGATCAAGGCAAAAAAAAAAAAAAAGACCACTCTGTAATCAAGTCTGAATACAAAAAAACAGTCCCATCCAATCCAGAGCAAGGGCCACGTCCTTATACCCTGCCCAAAATCACCTATCAGAAGCCCAATCCTATAACCATTTCTAACAGCTTCTTTGGAGGCACCCATGGTTCCCCGTAGTGTGTGTTCTCCCTCACGGCGACGAGTAATAAACTTGCTCAAATACAGGCAAGTTCCTGGTGGTCACTGATCGGAGGGCATTGCCATTCATGACCTTTGACAAAGCAGTTCCACTTCAAGGAATTTACCATACAGAAGTATTCAAACAGGTATGAAGATAAAAATAAGGATGCTCACTGCAGCATCAAGTCTCACAGGAAAAAACACCAGAAAATGCTCATCACCAAGGGGCTGATTAAATGAGTAAAAAACAAAAAAACCAAACCCGTTGCCATCGAGTTGATTCAAACTCATAGCGACCCTATAGGACAGAGTAGAACTGCCCCATAGGGTTTCCAAGGAGTGGCTGGTGGATTCAAACTGCCAAGCTTTTGGTTAGCAGCCGAGCTCTTAACCACTATGCCACCAGGGCTCCATTAAATGTGGTACAGCCATATAAAAGATTTTTTTTTTGAAGCTCTTAGAAAGCATGTTCCATGAAAAGTACAAAATGTTGCTGAAAGAAATTAAAGGCCTAAAAAAAAATGGAGATATATTTTGTTCATGGATCAGGAAACTCAATATTGTTAAGATGCCAGTTCTCCCCAAACTGATCTATCCCAATCAAAATCCCAGCAGTAGAAATCAAGCTGATCCTAAACTGCATAAGGAAATGGAAGAGGTAAATAGCCAAAATAACTTTGAAAGGAATGAAGTTAGAAGACTCACACTGTCTGGTTTCAAGACTTATTATGAAGGTACAACAATTAAGACAGTGCCAGTGGGTCACTGGCATCAAGACCTACAAGCAGATCGATGGAATATAATAAAGGGTCCAGAAACAGACCTATATACATGGACAACTGATTTTTTTTACAAAGGTGCAAAGGCAACTCAGTGAAGAAAGAAGTTCAGCCAAAAATGAACTTCGATTCATAACTCACACCATATACAAAAACTAACTCAAAATGGGTCGTAGACCTAAATGTCAAACCTAAAACTATAAAACTTTTGACCCGAGTTTGGTGAAAAAGTTTTATATACAACACCAAAGCACAACTGGTAACATATAAAACTTTTCTTCATCAGAATTAAAAACTGCTCTTCGAAAGAAACTAAAGAGAATTAAAGAACCCATACACTGGGAGAAAACAGCTACAAAACATGTTATCTGATAAGGGACTTGTATCCGAATATGTTAAAAAAAAAAAAAAACTCTTAAAATCAACAATAAGAAAACTATCCAATTTTTTAAAAAATGGGCAAAAGATTTGCACAGATTCTTCACTGAACATTATTAGTCACTAGAGAAATGTGAATTAAAACCACAATGCAATATGGCTAAAATAGAAAAAGACTGACAGTATTAAGTGTCAGCAGGGATGAAGAGGAATCAGAAATCTCACGCACAGCTTGTGGTAATGTAAAATGGTACAACCACTTTGGAAGATGTAAAAGTTAAATGTATACCTACTATATGAGCCAGCCATTCCACTCCTAGGTATTTATCCAAGAGAAATAAAGGCATAAGTCTACAAATGTTTACTGTAGCTCTATTAATAATCTCCCAAACCTGGAAACAACCCAAATGTCCATCAACAGGTGAATAAACAAAATGTGGTATAACCACGTAAGGAAATACTACTCGGCAACTAGAAGCAATTAACTATTGATACAACACGGATGAATCTCAAATAATTACGCTGAGTGCAAGAAGCCAGATTCCCCCTCACACCCTGCAAAAAAAAAAAAAAAAAGAGTACATGTTGTATGAAACCATTTATATAAAATCATAGAAAATGAAAATTATATTCACATGAAGTAGATGAATGGTGGCCTGGTTGGGGTAAGGGGGTGGAGAAGCAAAGGGAGGGTTGGGAGGGAGGAATCACCAAGGGGCATAAAGAAGCTTATGGGGGTGATGAATATGGTGACTGTCTTGATGGTGGTGATGGTTTCATGTATGAATACATAGGTCTAAACTTACCAAATATGTACAGGTTAATATCTGTCAATTATACCTCAACAAAGCTATTAATAAAAAGCATGTGGCCAAACCCAAAAACCAAACCCATCGCCTTCGAGTCAATTCCGACTCATAGCAACCCTACGGGACAGAGTAGAACTGCCCCACAAGGTTTCCAAAGAGCGCCTGGTGGATTCAAACTGCCGACCTTTTGGTTAGCAGCCGTAGCTCTTAACCACTACGCCACCAGCGTTTCTGTATAAGGAATTACGAAAATAATGAAGAGGAAAAGGCAAGTTGCAGAACATCGCTCTCCCATTTTTTGCAAAAGAATAAATGTGTACATATGTATATTACAAAATATGCAAGAAAAATTCAGGAGACTATATACCAAAATATTACATGATTCAAAAATATGCTGTAGAAGTACATTTATTGACATGGAAAGATTTTCACAATATACTGCTAGGGAAAAAGCAAGTTACAAACAGTATTTAGAATATGATTTCTTTTAACTATGTAAACATCTTAAATCATATAACCCAATACTTTCCACACACAGAAACTTTCTCTTTAGTTCAGACCATGGGTTATACTTCCTGCCATAAGACTTACAGAACTCAGCCACAGGCCAAAACTCCTGGGAATACTTTCTGGACCATACAGACTTCCAGAAATCACTATCTTGTGTGTTGAGACAGCTGTAGTTCTGGGTCTACTGTCCCAGACACTGCCAAGCCAAACCCATAGGTTCATCCCAGACTTTTCTCCTGACTTCCAGCCAGGTGGAGCCAAAAGCCTGACTGACATGGCCATTTGGAGAAACTTAAATGTTAGGAATTGCAAGCCTGGCAGGGACATCATCCACAGCAGAACCGAGCCATTAACATCAAATAGTCCCAGAGCCTTGAAGACCACCACGTAAAAAAGTTAAAGAGGACTGTAAGGTAGTGTGGTGACAGTGGGTTTTGGTGTCAGACAAACGTGGTTACCAGACAAAACATCTAGGCCACTTGCTAGCTGTGAGAATGTAGGAAAAAGTACTCAACCTCTCAAATTCTCCTTGGAGAGAACCCAAAATAACGACTTACAATAAAAAGAAACACTAGTAGCCTATCTAATAGGATATCGTGACAGAGAACAACAACAACAAAAAAAAAAACTGTAAAATATGGTGCAAACAGTTTCTGACATAGAGTAGGCACTCGGGGAATGTTTTCCTCTGTAAACCTACTTCCTTTCTTTCTGTAAGAGATGATTTTGACATAAACCAAACGCCCTGATACTGTAAGAGCTACAAATGTAGTACCAAGATAAAAAAAATAAACTAAGATAACATTTTGACTGAAACTCAGGTCCATTTATGTGTTGTAGAATGAGTTGTGTGATGCAGGTGGAATGGGGGATAATAGTTACTCCTTTTACATTAAACGGTCTGTGCTGTAGCAATCCCTGCTTCCCTTAAGTATCGACAGGGCACATTTGGCAATGAGCATATATACGCTGTAGGTACTGTAGCTTATTATTTTTGTATGCATATGCCTTATTTCTACAACTAGACTATAACCTGAAGATTTTTTGTTTCGTTTTGCTTTTTGTTTTTTGCCACATGAAGCCACAAATGGATCTATGTAGATACTAACGAACAAGCTAGCTAGCTTACAACGTTGGTTCACAATCTACTTAACGAAAAATGTCACAAATCTCCCAACTAGACAAGATAAAAATCAACAGGTATTTTCGGCTCAAGGGGTAATATTCCTCTGATATCCCAAATAGGGTCTAGCTCGAACCCAGAGACTATCACAAGTAACACCACATTAAAGATGCAATTTATAAGGTGCACACTGTAATAACCAAAACATTATGCAAGGCTCTTTGGGAACACACAGCCTATTAAAGTTTGGAGATTGTTCCAAGTTTTCTCTTTTAGTTCCTGCTCATTTTACAATTTTTCAATAATCATTTTAACTTCACGGAACATGGCCTTGAGTTCATTATAACTCAAGGGATTAACAACTATAATCGATCCCTTTCTGATATGCTCCTTTATGTTAACGAATATGGCCACGGCAGTAACAAGATTGGCTTTTGCCTCTTTCTGGTTAAAGATGAGCTTTAATACTGACAATGCCTCAATATCAATCATGTCTCTTGCTGCAATGGGATTTTCAGACATATTCAAAAATACTTTCAAAACAAGATTTCTGGTTTTACGATTTCCCTGGGCCAGTATACGGAAAAGCTCTGTAAGGTAACCAGCAACAATGTAGTGACGGTCAGAATCAGTAGTCAGTTGCCCTAATTCCTTTAATCCAGATCGCTGTCCAGGTGAGTTCAAGGGAAAAGACACGGTTTCCTTACACATATGCACAACATGTAAGTCAATCATGCGTTCTCTTTCATCCACAGAAATGGGATTCAGAGTAATTTCAGCCTTTCTTGTCACGTCCGGGAATTGAAAATCGAGCAAGCTTTCAATAACGGTCAGCACACCCATCTCATTAATTAACTGTTGGGCATATGGATGAACATTAATGATACCCATTGCAATTTGAGCTATTTTATGAATGAGAGGATCACTATTTGACTTGAGTAAGCTAACAAGTTTTTCAAATTCCTCAGAACCCAGGCAGCTTTCCATTTTGCAAGGGCAAGCAAATGGCTTAATCCCATTCAACTCCCTGATCCTGATTTGGTGTCTGATCTTCTCTATGGCCTGAGTGCAAGTCTCAGAATTAAACGGGTACGCATGTATAGACTGTAGGCATAAGGAAGTGCCCTTACAGAGATCGGCTTCTGCCGCAGGCAGAGAACGGGTTTTTTTCTTAGCTGAGGACAAGGCGATATATGAAACAGGCCTTGTCCTCAACGGGACCTGGCGTGCCAACGCTAACAATGCTGAAATGTCAGCAGGGGCGTTGGGCCAGAGAGCTACCTCAGACCAGTCCCTGGGCCTATTTCTTTCATCAATTTCACACTCAACCCGGGGCTTAACTATCCTGTACACTGGTCTAGGATTAGGGTCAAAACTAGTGTCATCTCCATCCCAAAACCAGCTCCCAATGATGACTTCCCCTTCCTCCTCTTCCTCCTCCTCCCCCTCTTCCACCCCTGGCCTAGGCTTGGAGCTGGCTCCAGTCGCAGGCTCTACACCCAACTCCTCAGCACTGAGCGAGGCACCAGTATCAGTTTCATCTTTATCCTTAGCATTGGACAGATCACCAGCCTCTTCCCCATTCCAGAACCAGGAACCGATACTGGCCTCTTCCCCATCCCAGAACCAGGTATCAATACCAGTCTCATCTTTCTGTGTGGACCCAGATGCAGCACTGGTCTCAGCCACACAAGAAAAACAAGACACAGTGGCCTCATCCTCAGCCCTGGGACCGAAGTCTGTATTGATCTTCCCCCCTGACCTGGCCCAGGATCCAGGCATCACCTTAGCCATGGCTTTGACCAGAGCCGTAGGCTCTGACAGGGCTCTTTCCTTCGTCTCGGCTTTCATCTCAGCAGCAATCTTAGTCTTAGACACTGCCTTCATCTCTGCTACTGCATCTGTCTCAGACCCTGCCTTGGCCTTGACTATGCCAGTAGCCTCCCTCTCTGCTTCAGCCTTTATACCAGCCCCTTTTCTAGTTTTAGCCCGGCCTCTAGCCTTATTCTTAGTCATGACTGAAGTCTAGCTATATAGCCCTATTCAGTCTCGACCTTGGTACTCAACGTGTTTCGGGTCAGTGTCTTGACACTCTTTCACTGGGTCAGGCTATAGCCTTGGAAGCAAGAGTTAGAGACAATTTTCAGCTCAACAGTCACAGAGTCCCCTCTGAAAACACACAGCCTCTGTTAACGATACAGACAGAGGGCAGAGGCACACTCAGGCTGCAGGAAGATGACGGCTCCTGGGTGCAGACCTGCTGAGAGGGATGGTCTTCTGCCACTCCAGGGCCACCACAGCTACCACTGCAGATGGACCTGAGTTGGAGAACAAAATGAGGCTTTGAGTCTCTTCCCATTGTACTGCTCTATGCACAAAATCACATAGAGAGACATGAAGGGAAGAGTAGAGACTGATTTGTGGTACAAGTAGATTAGTAGAAAAAAACCCTGCATCCTCATTTTATCCCTTCCACACTCCCACTAATGCCGAACAATATCCAGCCCAGGCCCCACCACACTCTTTTCTCTGCATCAAACAGGAGCAAGGACAGTGGGAAGCTTGCTGCGAGCAAGAGAGGCTAAGGAGCGGCCCGCCCTTCTTGCCCCATGCTAGTGTACACCACTACCCTAAAAGTCTACCCAGGCAGGCCTCATTCTCACACCGACCTGCACTGATCTGGAGCAATTTTCTCCTTCCTTGCTTCCAACTTGACAAGCTCTACAGCAGATTCACAGGCAGACCTATGGGCAAAAATACACAAGGGATTGGAATTTTGGGCAGTTGGTAGATAGACCCGCACTTTGGTCTCTCAAACATCTGTCTTTCCAAACCCAGAGCACTGGTTCTGTAATATATCCGACCTCCTTAGTCCCTCTTTGCATCACTTCCCTCCCCACTTCCCACCCCAATATCTACCAATTACCCTACAGACACAATCCCAGCTCATCCACCCCCATTTACTGTACACAATGCACAAAGGCAGAAGTGTCTGGAAAGCTGGAAGACAATGGGTCCAACAGCCAACCACCACCCCTAGTCAACAGGGGTGCTTACGTTCATACCCACCTTGGATCCAAGTTAATAGCTGGTCTTCTTTAATTTCCAAGAGAAAAGCTACATAGACATCTATAAGAAAGGGAAAGGACCTACTGATAGAAAGACAAGGTAGAAAACAAAAGAAAACAGACGAATTAGCAGATGGCTCAACACCCATGATAAGGGTTATAATATTTGCTTTTATGTATTCAAGGCCATGTTAAATACCTACCACCCATCTGCTTCTCCCATAATGATTCCCCAGTCATCTCCCCCTAGACCTACAGCCTGTCCGAATACCTCCCACCAATTCTGAAGTCAGCTATTTCCCAACAGAGGCCACAGCTCTTTCCCTGAAAAAAAAAACATGAGTTGCAGGAGTGGGTAGGAGAACACCAGCAACTGTATTTAGAAAGCATGCAGAGAAGATAGTGGGAACTATTATTTCAATAACGTCGTTATGTGCCCCCTCCTCTTCCCCATGTATTTCATTCTACCTCATTCACCTATGCCAGCCTGCCCACACAGCAGGGGTCCTCAGGAGATGTTAATCTTCCTACAAAGAAGAGTCCGCACCCTACAGAAAAATGGAGGGGCATTCAGCAAAACAGCAAGAGAATATGTTGACAATGTAGAAAGTAGCAGTTTAATGTAAACATTTCCAGGATTCAGCTTCCAACACTTCCTTTTCTAGAATCAGGGATTAAGTAGATAAACTGAACTTCTTAAATTCTCATAGCTCCTCAGACCTTCACTCTCAGAACTCCATGAAATCTTCTGTGGCATTACTTCTGCACCAAAATGAAAGGGGCTGTGAGGGGTGGGTGGAGATGGAGTGTGCGTTTCCAGAACCAGAAATTGGAACAGACTGACTTCAAATATTATCAACTGGCCCCTCAGAAAGCTTTTCCCTCTACTCTGAGCCCCCATTCCCACACCTCAATGTGCTGCAAGTGGGCTGGCATGTTGAGAAAATAGATTCCAAGCCAGGAAGGTAAGGCAACACCACACTGTTTACTTACACGGACCCTTCCTGTAAAAGTCCGCCCACTCCTCATCCTGCCCATTTGCTTGCACTAAATTGTATGTTGCTTTTAGTTGTCCTCCACTGATTACAACTCATGGCGACCTCACATGTTGCAGAGCAGAACTACTCCATAAAGGTTTCAAGGCTGTCATCTTTTGGAAGCAGATCTTTAGAGGTGCCTTTCGGTGGGTCAACCAATAAGACAACCTCAACCTTTGCCTAGTAGCACAGCACTTAACCCTTTGTGCCATCCAGGACTCCTCTAGAGTGAGTGCAGCGATCTAAATATAGAAGGCAATAAAACGGAGCTATATTAAATGGTGGAAGGAACGCTGGTGGTGCAGCAATGAAGTGCTGGACAACTAACCTAAAGGTCGGGTGGTTGGAACCCACCAAACCCAACAACCACTACCCAGGAGACAGATGTAGCATGCTCCCGCAAAGATCACAGCCTCGGAAATCCTATGGGGCAGTTCTACTCTGTCCTATAGGATCCCTATAAATCAGAATCGACTCCATGGCAACAGGTTGTTTTTATTAAGAGGCGGATGAATACTGATGCATTACGATGTCTTCTTAGTCCACCCGCCCACGGTTGCTCTTCTGCAGATTTCATAAGACCTATGACGCAGACCTATTGGCGCAGTGGTTAAGAGCTCAGCTACTAATCAAAATGTATGCAGTTCGAATCCACCAGCCGCTCCTTGGAAACCCTACAGGGCAGTTTCTACTCCGTCCTATAGGCTCACTATGAGTCGGAATCGACTCAACGGCACGACATCTGCGCAGACTGGAGCCCTGGTGGCGCAGTGGTTAATAACTTGGCTGTTAACCAAAAGGTCGCACTTCGAATCCACCGGCCGCTCCTTAGAAACCCCATGGGCAGTTCTACTCTGTCCTAACAGGTCACCACGGGTAGGAATCACTCCAAGGCAACGGATTTGGTTTTTTTTTTTTTAGGCATCTCT